TCTTTTTATCTTTCCCAGCTCCTAAGTGCTAGTTCTTTGGATAATGTGTCCAAACTAGGATAATTTGAGCCTGGTCTTTTGGCCTCAAGTGAGAACTTTGGTTGATCTATCAGTTTGATGATCCACTCTTTTATTTTCTTTGCTATCCACTGAGTCTTGTCCAAATCAAGATTCAAACTTGTCAATACTCTTCCTATCCTGCTTCTTTAAAGTCCAACTTTGCTTTCACAGACAGCCACAGGGAATATCCTGGCTTGCATGATTCTGATCTTTTTTTTTTTTTTTTTGTTGGGGGGGGGGGGGGGGGGGGCTAGATACTTGCAAATTAAGATGTATTATTTCACCAAAAGTTTTGGTTTTCATTTAATTAAAATCGCTGTAAGACAAATGATTAAATTTAGCGTATGTGGGAGGAAATCCCATGTTCGTCTTGTATTTCTTAGATGCCTCTAAACTACGTCTTATTCTTTGCATTTGACATTAGATTTCAACCAAATACAGAACATGACAAAATATAATACTTTGCCTTGAAGTGGGAAGTTGGCAAAAGTAATGTTTTTTAAAACAGCAAAAAAGCAGTGTAGAGGGATAAAATGGAATGGGGGTTAAAGTTAAACTTAGTATCAATAGATACTGTGAAATTGAACACAGATGTTTGCTAATTTCTGATGGCTTTACTCAACAAGGCTTTACTCAAGAATTGGCTTTACTCAAGAATTTCTTTCTGGCATAACTGTAATTGCTAATTTAAGTTGACCAGAAAAAAGCAAAGATTCTACCAACAATTCAACCCAGACACCCCCAAATTGACTCAGATCTTATTTTATCGGACCTGCGGTGAAATAATAAAAATAAGCCACAAATACATTCATTTGGTGGGAAAATTCATTATGAAGGTTTTTTTAGTAGTATTTTTTAATGAATTACTGATTTGGCTGAACAATATTTAAATCTTATTGCTCTTCCCTTTCCTTTAAAATTGCATGATGATGCAAAAGCATAGTGAAATGAAGAGCTTGGGTTGGCAAATTCATAAGGCAGACATGGGAATGCCATGTCTATTTATTGTGTTTGAATTTGAAGTATGTATTTATATCTGGGCATTATGGGATTAAACTTGCGCCTACTGTTTACAGAATAATTTTTCTATCTTAGTCATTCCTGTGAATTCTTTGGTGAAAAGAAGTACAAAACTACATTATGAAGCTTTGTCTTCAGAAATGGAATAGAGAGTGACCGTAACATAGAGTTTTCAGAATGGCATGGTAAAAGAGTGCTAATATGAAGGACCTTCTCTACTGACTTTGAGTCAAAGGACAGGCAAAGATGTGCTTATCTTTTAATATAATTTTTTGTTATTTAAAGTAGCTTTTACTCGTGTTTTTATATTGTTGTTATTATTTTTAGTGGATATTTGATTTTTTAAAATAACATCTGTGAATCTGGTTGCTTGTGCCTGGCACTACCAGTTCTAATATATAATGATCAGGCCCTAAGGAAGATAGTTGAGGACAAGCCTTGGGGACCTCCCATTCTCCCTGCCACACTACATTGTTTTTAAAGATTTATTCCCTAAAGAAATTCAATAGGAAGCTGACTTTCTGCAGAGCAAAATCACTTCCTCTAGTTATAGTGAGGGATGATTTACATAAAAGTTGCAGGACTAGTTTACCTTCTTATGAAAGGATGATTTATGACTGGCATTGTTCATCATGACCACCATTTTATAAATAAATATTGGGTCTCCATGACATCCATCTTGTGAGTGTGCCTGCCACATGTGCCCCTGGCCATAAAAGTTTGCTTGATCTAAGGAGACCTACAGCTCTTAGAAAAACAAGAGATATTTTTGATTCAGAGCTGCAAAGAGAAAAGGAAATCTTGCCTTCTTTGCTTTTTTTGTTTTCCCTTGCTAAAATTTATGGAGTTCAGCACGATTGTCCCTTCCTGCCTCAGTAGGACTGACAAGTGGACAGCATTCAATTCTTATTAGATTAAAATTGAGGAACTGGTCCTGCTTGCTCAGGAGAGACCAAGTCTCAGAGGGGTCCTCTTATGGCCCTGCAAAGGAGGAAGCAACTAAGTGAATCACTGCAGTTGATAAGTTAGTAACATGGTTGTTAAGTGAATCTGGCTTCCCCATTGACTTTGCTTGTCAGAAGGTTGCAAAAGGTGATCACATGACTCCGGGACATGGCAATTGTCATAAATACCTGTGGTTCCCAAGCAACCGCATGTTGATCATATAACCATGGGGATGATCGTAAGTGTGAAAACAATCATAAATTATTTTCTTCAATGCCATTGTAACGTCAAACAGTCACTAAATAAATGGTTGTAGGTCTAGGGCTACCTGTATGTCGATCTCTTATTTTCTCCATTATTTCTTTTTCATCACTTACAAAAATGACAATTGAATTCTTACTAATTTGATACTTTGAGCTGAATCATCCACCTAACCACATTTTTAAAATCTAATTCTCCAGACAAAATGACTTTACGATCAGATCAAGTTGCACATCATACGTTCTGTTTTCCTAGGCAGAGAGGTTGGTAATGCAATGCTTGGAAATGCTGAGGTGCCCTTAAGGCTTTAAAGAGGCAACCCACTCTTCAGAACCAATTTAAAACATCTCTGGGAACTCACAAGAAATTGTGACTGCTTTACGTTGCATTTGCTATGAGTTTGTGCTTCTGCTTGGCATCATTGTGATTGTTAGAAAAGTGTGGTAGTGCTCCAACAAATCTTTGTCCATTTTCTCTCAGACTGTTATCAGAATTACAGCATCATGTTAATTGCAAAGTTGCAAGTAGCTGTATAGTGGAAGGCTAGGAAAACACAGGGCCTTTGCCTCAGATGCATAATGCTTTTTACTTTAAAAGCAAGTAGCCTTCCTCTCAGATCTTTGCATTTCTGTTTTTGAAATAACTTCTACTGCACCTCTGTCATAGAAATGAATCCTTTTAATGTCAAGTTAATTTAGGCATTTCTGCTACAGTTTAAATTATATATCAGGAAATAGCATAAATGGTACAATTATGTCTGCGGGCAAGATTTACACTTCTTTCTGATTTGGTAATTCTGCTTTGTGAAAAAGAATGCCTTTTTTCTCTCTCTCAGAAAGGCTTAATGTAAAAAGATCACCCATGTGATAGGGCCTATGCAAATATAAAACTTGATAAGTACAGACTTACATGCAGTGTAAGGTGAGAAGTTGGAAGCAGATTAATCAGGTACATTCTGTAGCATGAATTGTCTGTCTCTTTCCCGCCACCCTTAATTATGGCCTTTTAAGATTACATCAAATCAACATTAATCATTGGTTTTATCTTAAGCAGAATTTACACACCAGTTTCAACTGTGATTTGAGGTCTAATTAAAAGGATTCCTTGTTTAGCATCAACTGTTATTTACATCATGATAAAATGTTTAACTGTGGTAAAGTAAGTGGTTCTGGAAGAACAGAATGGCTGGGGCAGGCATGAAATCTCAGCTTTCAGGTTGAAAATATTAGTATCTTCCATAGTTGAGAATTTGGAAAACATTGTTTGTATCTTGACCTTTTTTTTGCACTGAAATATTTTTCCTGCACAGCATTTTGAATCTAATCACGCTAGAAATAATCCAATGATAAGTGATGAATCAAATATGAAATTGATTTTGTAGTGATTGGCCTTTTGTTTCTTCTTTTTTCCCCTTTTTCTGTTCCATATTTAAAGAGGTATTTTGGAAGAGAAAATACTTTCAAATAAGTAAAAAAAAAAAAAAATCCCCTCGCATCTTTTTTAAGTGTGTCTTAAGGAAAAAATGAATAAGTCTTAATTTTTTGGCTGCCCATTCTTACCATAGGTAACTCTGGGCGGCTTACAGTTTACATATAAATTAAAGCATAAAAATTTAAAATCAAACTTTAAAACCAAAGATACATGGGGGAGGGCAGGGCAAAGAGTGGGGGGGAGGTGGGACCTGTTATTACTGTTAGGTTCCATTCAGCAACATAAGAGGTCAGAACAGAGCCTGCTTCTTACTCTTTTAGCCATGTCCATTCTTGTCTTTTCATTTTGTTCAATGGGGTTAATTTTACAGAAAGCTAAGTAGGGCCAGGGCTGGTTACTGCTTATATTAAAAACCATCAGGAGATCACTAGACGTTAAACTGTAAGCATTATTTAAGGACCTGTATTGGCTTTAATCAAAGTGATATATTTTCTTTTAACCCAGCTTGGGATGAAGCCTGAAAAAAGAATCTGCCTGCTTTAATTAATAGTAGAGAGTGCCGTATTTGTGTATGACCTGGAGAACCTCCTTTTAGCCTTTTCAAAAGGTGTGCAGGTCTCTTATAAATAAGATATATGAATTTCTTAGCATTAAGATGGAGTGTGAAAACCGAGCCATCAAGGTCACTAGCTGTTTCAAATGTAATGAAGGGTTTCTCAGCTCCCTTTCATTTAGTAGCCAAGCCAGCTTCTGGAAGTACTAAGAAATTATTTTTCGTGGAGATATTAATCACAACTTGTCTGTATTTTTCACCTCTTTATTTTCTGTTTTCTGATTTAACACACGAAGAGTACTGCATAGTATAATTTATGAGCAATGCGGAATGGTTGAAGTTCTCTTTATGCTGCAGAGAGAGAGAGAGAGAGAGAGAGAGAGAGAGAGAGAGAGAGAGAGAGAGAGCAGGAACGTTGCTAGGGCATGCCTAAAGTTTATTTTTGATATTTCACTTCCAGAGTGAAATCTCCTTAGAAATATATTGTGTTTGTTCTGTATCAAAAATTGGAGAAAATAATGAGTACTCCTTGCATTCGTATCACAAAACCTGCAAATAACTTGGGAAGCCAAGAATATGCGGAATGTAGAGCCATAGCACCATGAAATTCAGGGTTCTGAGAATGTCTTAGGTTCTTAAGAGGCTTCAAGGCTTTTCTAGTATGCCTTCGAGCCACTCTCCTTATGGCCTTAATTGTCCCTTCTGAAACCTTCTTCCTTTCGTTTTGCAGCAGCCCATTGTGCCTGCCCATCCAATGGCTCCTCCTAGCCCCAGTATCACCAGCAGCAATAACAACAGCAGCAGCAGCAGCAACTCAGGATGGGATCAATTAAGTAAAACAAACCTGTATATCAGAGGGCTGCCTCCAAATACCACTGACCAGGACTTAGTAAAGTTATGTCAACCGTAAGTATGCTTGTTGTTAATAAATTATTAAGAAATGGGTGGTCAAAGATTTAAAGGGATCGACTTACAAAAAAGTTTTTTTTTTCTTGGTCTGACAAGACCTATAGAATTTTTTTTAAAAAAAAAAATAGCACAGAAATGTATCAGAACTGAGTTAAAAGTATAGTTCTAAAACACAGGGTAAGTCTAATAATTTTGCATTAACTTTGATCATCATATAATTTGAATGGAGAATTATTAAACTTATCAGTACTAAGTAGTTCTAAGTTCTTATCAGTACTTAGAAATATATGCCTACTTTGTGGCAGTGACAGTGAATTCTGATCCTGACCCTTAAAAAGTAAGCATTTTGTTCATGGCCCATAAATAATTTGATGGGGATCAAAAATTATTATTAGTAAATATTGTAGATTCTTTTTCTAATTTCAGAACTTTAAGCCAGATCATTGGTACATGTGAACAGTAGACTCTTGTGAGTTATCGTTCTGATGAAGTATTCGTGTAGAACAGGGGTCACCAACCTTTTGGACCTCAGGGACCACCAAACTCATAATTTTAGATCCCAGGGACCACTAACCGGTTCTGTGGGCATGGCCTAATTTGTGGGTGTGGCTTGGTGGTCATGTGATTGGCTGGGCATGGCTTGTATGTAAATATTATAAATATTTATATAAATATTGAAAATTTTTTTTATAAATAAAAGACCAACTTTTACCCAAAATCAGGCAGAGCAGGCAGGCAGATTGAGTTGCTCACAGAATCACAGATTCATTCAGAAATCTATCTATCTGCCATTGGCTAGCTCAGTCTGTCACATAAAATTTGCTTGCAAGCAAACTCACAAAATTAACTCACAACACACCATGTATGTAAATATTGGATTTTTTTATAAAAAACAATTTTACCCAAAATCAGGCAAAGCAGGTAGATTGAGTTGCTCACAGAATCATTCAGTGATCTATCTATCTGCCATCAGCTAGCTCAGTCTCTCAAATTTGCTTGCCGTGAGTCTGCACTGAATTTGCTTGCAAGCAAACCTTCAGTCCTAAGGGAAGCAGAGCCGAAGATCTGAAGACTAGCTAGAAAGCAAGAAATCCAACCATTTTCTGCTTCCTAGCTAATCTAAATCTCCCGGCACAGCAGAACAGATGATGGTCGGAAAAAGGAAAAATAGCAGTTTTAGCAGGGAAGTTTGCTGGGTAAGGAGTGAGTGGGCGGGAATGTTCCTGCGGGCCATGTGGGCAGCACAGCCTTGTGTTTCTGTGCAGCCTGGATTAATTGCTTTGGGAAGGTGCTCTGGGGGTGAGATTTCTCTGCGGCCCACCAAAATTTTCTCAAGGCCCACCAGTGGGCCGCGGCCCACCGGTTGGCAACTGCTGAGCTAGAAGGCCTTATTAGCTTGATACCAATATACATAATTTAAGAGAAATGTTCATTTTGCATGAACTATTTGAGTAAAACTAAGCCAACATTGTCTTAGCAAGTTGCAGCACTTGGCCAACTTTGTTTAGGCCCAAGAGGGTCTGCCATGATTTGTACTTGGACGGGAGACCTTCAGGGAATATCTTCTTTAGAGTAACCTTCCTGCAGACAAAAGAAAAAGTGTTTTTCAGAACCTGGCTCCCCAAGATATAGACACCTATTCCTGAGGTCAAAAGAATATGCCATGGGTGTTTGCTATGTCTAATGGCTTGTAATTTTACTAATGTAAACATGTGGTAAGCTGCTCAGAGTCTCCTAATAGGAGCAGCATTTAATGTACAGTAAATAAATAAGCACCATGGTTGCATGCTAGACTGGGCAGGTGAAAAAACATTCCAGAAGGATGTTCTCAGTCCAAAGAAAACTGCATGGATGCATCCATGAAGTTACTACGAGTAAAGGTCTACCTTTACCTTAAGCTATTGCTTATTGTACCCTGTGATTATCATTAAGTGTTGTGCCTTATGATTCTTGACAAATGTATCTTTTCTTGTATGTATTTTGAGAGTATTTGCACCAAGAAAAATTCCTTGTGTGTCCAACCATACTTGGCCAATAAAGAATTCTATTCTATTCTATTCTATTCTATTCTATTCTATTCTATTCTAT